CCTTTCCACCAGTACAGTCTATTCATCTACATCCACAATTATAAAGAGAAGGATCGCCGGAGCTCAAGACACCAATCAGTGTGGGGTCCCTCTGCTGTCAGTACCCACAGCTAGAGTGCAGGATTGGTGAGAGGGTTGCCAAACCACCACAGTTTTTGCATCATGGAGCAGAACAAGTATCTAATTAACACAGTTTGCCATCAAGTCTCTTAGATACTACATTGCCTATGTTGCATATCACCAAGAATGTCCATACTACCTGCTTTGGAAAATTCCTAATAACTCAGAACCACTTAACTCTTCTCTGCATTTCTTATTGGCACTCTCATTACTTTTAAGCCCTGTTCAAGTTCCTCCTACCAGAACTATTCTTCAAGTTCCCTTCCCCTAAACTTGGAGGGTTTGTCAGGAAGCCAATCAGTCTCATCATTAATGCACCACCAAAAGGGCCCCCAATCACGCTGACTATTTTTTTCTTCTTTACATTTCTGGAGATTATCCCTTTCTATTATCTACCTTGCTTAAGTCTGCAGGCAGACTTGGACTAGGCAGAGTCACCCCAGGGCCTAAAGGCAGCATAGCCTCCGTTGTTTTATAAGATCAGTTTCAGGCTTTCCTTACATTACTCTGGGTGGCTCTGTTACAGTTTATGCTAGTTGGTAAAAAGTTGTGCCCAGTTAGTTTTAACATTGTTCCTTGCACACATCCCTGGTATAGAAGTACTCAGTGTAGGAGTATGCATTATCTTAAAGGATTAGTTCACCTTTTTTTACAAAAAATAATAAATGCACATTTATTTGCATGTTAAAAAATATGCATTTACTATTTATTGTTTTAGAAGCCTGGAAAGCATTGCAGCAGCGAAAAGTAGATTGCTGGTGCCATGTAGGTCTCATGCAGACTGTCAGTGTAATCAGTCTGCTCATACCTCACATGAGCAGGCAATTTTACACTGATAGGAAGAATGAATAAACTACCTAGCGTTCAACAGCATCGTGGTAGTTCATTGAGAACTGCAAGCCAACAGCCGCAAAGGCTGTTGGTACTTGTAATTCATTGATTCACAGGGATCTGTGAAATTTGAAACTCAGAATATGAAATATTTTACTTCCAATATGGAATGTAATACTTCAAATATAGAACTTGAAATTAGGAAAAATGTAAAACAGTTGAAAGGGCATTAGATAGTCAGCACCGTTGTTGATTAGGCCGATTTTAGTGTGTCCGTGAAATATTTTGGTATTATATTCATTAATTAAAAACTATAGATGTTAAAGGGGATGCATTGCAAAGTAAACATGAGTCATTTGAACCATTTAAAATAATAAAAGTTATTCTCTAATTACATGTAAAAGCTATGCTGTTTCTCCCAGGTTATCCCACACTCCACTAAAATGAAGCACAGCATAGCACCAACAACCTTCAGTAAGCAATTACTTATCTTCAGTAAGCAATTACATTACTTCTAGGGTGTGAAAGTGGGCCCTTTTAGCATAAAGCATTTAGGAAAATGACAAAGCTCTAACACTCTCCCCATTTACATGGATCATGGACAATTCATACCATATACCCTAAATAAATGACATTTAACTAAACTTAACAGCAAAGCGCTGTGTATCATAATCAATCCCCCCCCCCTTTTTGTTTTATAAAATACATGATTTCAGTGATATTAATCCCCTGCAGCAGCCTCATTGCTGTCACTTCGGGGTTTATTTACTAAAGCTGGAGAGTCCAAAATCAGACTCCCTTCTGCATAGAAACCAATCAGCTTCTAACCTCAGCTTGTTCAATGAAGCTTTGGCAATGAAACCTGGAAGCTGATTGGTTTCTATGCAGAAGGGAGTCTGATTTTGAACTCTCCAGCTTTAGTAAATAAACCCCATTATGACAGTGGTGTCTAACCTAGAGGGCCCAAGGGCCACCTTTGTATCCACAAATAAAATGGAAGGTTGCATCTCAGCCAACACCTTGGTTATACCCTATGCAGGCTAAACAAAACCAAAATGTAACTCCCTTCCTCCTTAGCTAAACATAATTTTTAAACGTTTAAAAACAAATGGTAAAAAAAGATAAAAAAAATGGAACTCAGAACTTATGAATTTTGGAATATGGAACACTAAACTCAGAATATGGAAATTAAAACTTTAAATTTAAAACATAGAATTAGGAAAATGTAACACACTTGCAAGGACATTAAATTGTCAGCACCCTTGTAGATTGGGCAGATGTAAGTAGATCTGTGGAATATGTTGGTGTTATATAAATTAATTCAAAACTATGGATGTTATAGGGTATGAAAGATTTTATTAAATATGCATTAAAAAGAGTGATAAAATGGCCACTTGTACTCTCTATCAGAAGCCTGTATAAAAGGGTGACAATTAAGGAGCACAACTGGAAAAACAGGAACAGCAGTCCATATAGCAGGAAACTCCTGAAAAGGAACTTCAAGGTAGGATCACCAGGCATTATTTTAAAGAAAAAGAGTTGCTTTAATGAAAGCTACAGATTAAAAATATTGAATATTACTTCTATATTACAACTGCAAGTTAAATCTTTTATGAGATTTTTGTGATCAGATTACCGTAGACTTTAAGTCCATTTTTTGCTTTTTCTGCAACTTTCTTTCCTTTATATTACAATTTACTTATAATAAATGTAATAATTTAGGTGTCAAACTAGCCCTCAAGCTGTTGCCAAACTACAAGTCCCATGAGGCATTGCAAGATTGACCATTACAAGCATGACTCCCAAAGGCAGAGACATGATGGGACTTGTAGTTTCGCAACAGCTGGAGGGCTGCCAGTTTGACACCCCTGATTTAGTGGTCTCCAACTCAAAAGCGCTCAAGGGCCACATTTGTATCTGCAAATAGAGCAGAGGGTTGCATCTTAATCACCACCTTTGCTATACCATATACAGCCTATACAAAACCATAGTGCAGTACAGGGACATGGACCTCTGGTAGGTGAGGATGCCAAAGTCCCCCACCCCATCCTCCTGAACTAAACAGCATTTGTAAAAGAATATACAAACCAAAAAAAGTTGAAAAATAAAAACTTGGAAAATAAACTCAGAATTTAGAATATAAAACTCAGAAAATAGAACATGGAAAATGGTCTATGAAACATGGAGCAGCATGGGAAATGGAACTCGGAATCTGGAATTCAGAACTTGGAATGTAGAACATGGATCTTTGAATATGAATAATGGAATTTAGATCTTGTAATTTGGAAAGTGATACTTTAAATATGAAAATATAACACACATACAAGGGCCCTAGATTGTCTGCACCATTGTAGATTGGGTAGATGTGAATGGATCTGTGGAATATTTTGGTGTTATATAAATCAATTAAAACCTATAAATATTGAAGGATATGAAGCATTTTATTTGTTATACATTAAAAAAGGTAAACATACCTGATCTGACCCACATCTGCAACCACCCGCAGCCAAAATGTGCTGCTCTGTAGAGACACGCAGGGCTCCCAATCATTCTTAATGGTACCCCCATGTATCTAAATCCGCAGCATGTTTGCTGGTGCGGGAACTGCAGGGAATTCATATGGCAAAAAAGTTCCCTTATTAGAACATACATCATATGTAGTGGAAATACTTACATTTTCACAAATATCTTTGGAGACATCTTTGATGAAATTTTTCGTAAAACAGCATTGGATTAGGAATAGACAAGTATCCTTACAAAAGGTGTGGAACTTGAGCTTTTAGGAGAGGGATATCATCAATTTGAAGGTTTGGCAGACGGATACCAGAGTAGAATGACAATGGGGGACATTTATTAAAGCTGGAGCCCGGAGAATCTGGCACAGCTGTGCATAGTAAACCAATCAGCTACTAAGTGTTACTGTCAAAGCTTCATTGAATGAACTGAATGTTCTTTCCCTTTCACTTTTAATGATAAGGAGAAACATTAGAATTTGAGAGAACGAATAAATCATTTAATGTGTTTTATACAGTTTTATACAGTACCTTGGTGCTCATGCACTATATTTTAATATATATTTTTGAGTTTAAAAATAATTGATTTACACACAGGTTTGATGGTTAGCCGGGTGTTTGCTGATACATCTTTTTTTTGCTACACCTTATTGGTTTTTGATATATCATATACTTTCTGCCATTGGCTTTTGATATTCATGCACTTATTAGCAACACCACACTACACACAGTATTCTATTAAAGCAAACTTCTTGTGAATTGTTTTGGTCAAACCCCCCTTACTTGTAAAAAAAATCAGTAAATTCTCATTTCTGATGACTTGAACTGCATCAACATGTTTTCACTGGGAAACCAACACTTCCAAGAGTGTCAAATTTTGTGGTTCCCGTAAAGCTCCCACAGGTTCCTCCCTGTTAATTCACTTCACTGTAGGTCACAGGAAGGACCCAGTGAGAGCTGCATGGGACCCAAGAGAATGATGCTTACTTCATTGAACTATTATAAGGGAAGAGGGGCTTGAACAAAACATTTCAAGTAAATCTATCCCAGAACTGTTAAATTCAATCTGAAATCAAGTTCAACCCACACCTTCCTATTGGTCTTTGTTTTTTTACAGGAAACGTTGAGCTTTGCATTCAAACTCAGCTACCTAAATTTCTGGATCTACTTATCAAACTGACATACAGTCTTACCTGAAGGTAGTCACGGCTTATGCATTTCTTAATGATATTTTCTGGATTTGTAAAAGGCTTCCTCAGGAACATATATTCATTGCCCAAGGTCCTCCACCATTGAATCTATTTCTCTAGTAAATTCACTAATATATCTTTATTTTATACCTGTTTCTTTGTTACTGAAATGTGTTGTATCCTTTCTACTCAGCATCCATGTGAGTAAAGGGGAATGCACACTGACACACCATTGTAGTAGAAGCCAGTGCCTTAATGCCCTTAGGGGTTTAGTGGTCTGCTATGTAAATACTAAATTCTTTGATAACATAAATAATAGAATTAAAAATCCAGATACTTAAATGTCCTATCCTGGAGCCAGGAAACTTACTGTCTGTATGGATTGTGCCAGGGTACTGCCAGCCATTCTCCATGCAATGTCATGCATGTAATCCACCATATCTTCTGCACTCTTATCTGAAGAGATGAATACAATTTCAAACTGTGCAGGAGGGTCAGCCTCTTCCACCAGCTCGCTATAGAAGTCACACAACACAGGGGTGAAATCCCTGCAGGGCGAACACCAGGCCGCTGAGAAAAACAAGCCAACTATTTTATTCTGCAAAGCTTCCTCGGGATCCACCTTCTCACCATCTTTAGTAACCAGAACGTGTCCAGAAAAATATATCCATTTTATAATTAGATGTATAGGCAGATGGAGATGTGTCACCTGTTGTCTCCTTGTTCTTGTAGCTACAGTAGTGATTGTGAAACCTCTGAGCGTGAGCTGAAAGTTATTTATAAATACTCATTTCTCATAATCCCTTTAATCCCACTCTTATACACCTCTCTGAAGCAGGATGCCATCTGTTCTTCAGCCACTGCAGAGAAATTCCTTATGTAGCAAAAGTATAGAACAGCATTATCAGTTTAGTATATATTAGTTATGCATTATGTTATTACATGCTATCTGTTGTAGTGTAACATGCTTTGCAAATCTACATTATCATCAGTGTTGTAGGATACACGCAGCGTGCAAATCTACATTATCATCAGTGTTGTAGGCTACACGCAGCGTGTAAATCTATATTATCATCAGTGTTGTAGGATACACGCAGCGTGTAAATCTACATTATCATCAGTGTTGTAGGATACACGCAGCCTGCCAATCTACATTATCATCAGTGTTGTAGGCTACACGCAGCCTGCAAATCTATATTATCATCAGTGTTGTAGGGATACACGCAGCCTGCAAATCTACATTATCATCAGTGTTGTAGGCTACACGCAGCTGTGCAAATCTATATTATCATCAGTGTTGTAGGATACATGCAGCTCGTTAAATCTACATTACATCAGTGTTGTAGGCACGCTCGTGCAAATCTACATTATCATCAGTGTTGTAGGATACACGCAGCCTGCAAATCTACATTATCATCAGTGTTGTAGGATACACGCAGCAAATCTACATTATCATCAGTGTTGTAGGATGACACAAAATCTATATTATTGTCAATGTTGTAGGCTACTACATGCAGCTGTAAATTAATCTACATTATCATCAGTGTTGTAGGATACACGCAGCGTGGATTACAAAATCTACATTATCATCAGTGTTGTAGGATACACGCAGCCTGCAAATCTATATTATCATCAGTGTTGTAGGATACACGCAGCGTGTAAATCTATATTATCATTTTATCATCAGTGTTTGTAGGATACACGCAGCGTGTAAATCTACATTATCATCAGTGTTGTAGTAGGATACACGCAGCAGCGTGCAAATCTACATTATCATCAGTGTTGTAGGATACACGCAGCGTGTAAATCTGCATCAGTGTTGTAGGCTACACGCAGCCTGCAAATTCTATATCATCAGTGTTGTAGGATACACGCAGCGTGCAAATTCTACATTATCTAATCAGTGTTGTAGGCTAGGATACACGCAGCAAATCTATATTATCATCACGTGTTGTAGGATACATGCAGCGTGTAAATCTACATTATCATCAGTGTTGTAGGATACACGCAGCGTGCAAATCTATATTATCATCAGTGTTGTAGGATACACGCAGCGTGCAAATCTATATTATCATCAGTGTTGTAGGCAGTGTTGTAGGATACACGCAGCGTGCAAATCTACATTTATCATCAGTGTTGTAGGATACACGCAGCCTGCAAATCTATATTATCATCAGTGTTGTAGGATACACGCAGCGCCGTGCAAATCTATATTATCATCAGTGTTGTAGGATACACGCAGCCTGCAAATCTATATTATCATCAGTGTTGTAGGCTACACGCAGTGTAAATCTATATTATCATCAGTGTTGTAGGATACACGCAGCCTGTAAATCTATTTATCATCAGTGTTGTAGGATACACGCAGCCTGCAAATCTATATTATCATCAGTGTTGTAGGATACACGCAGCCTGCAAATCTATATTATCATCAGTGTTGTAGGATACACGCAGCGTGCAAATCTACATTATCATCAGTGTTGTAGGCTACACGCAGCCTGCAAATCTATATTATCATCAGTGTTGTAGGATACACGCAGCGTGTAAATCTATATTATCATCAGTGTTGTAGGATACACGCAGCCTGCAAATCTACATTATCATCAGTGTTGTAGGATACACGCAGCGTGTGCAAATCTATATTATCATCATCAGTGTTGTAGGATACACGCAGCGTGTAAATCTATATTATCATCAGTGTTGTAGGATACATGCAGCGTGCAAATCTACATTATCATCAGTGTTGTAGGATACACGCAGCGTGTAAATCTACATTATCATCAGTGTTGTAGGATACACGCAGCCTGCAAATCTACATTATCATCAGTGTTGTAGGATACACGCAGCAGTGTAGCCTGTAAATCTATTATTATCAGTGTTGTAGGATACACGCAGCGTGTAAATCTATATTATCATCAGTGTTGTAGGCTACACGCAGCGTGTAAAATCTACATTATCATCAGTGTTGTAGGATACACGCAGCGTGTAAATCTACATTATCATCAGTGTTGTAGGCTACACGCAGCCTGTAAATCTACATTATCATCAGTGTTGTAGGATACACGCAGCGTGTAAATCTACATTATCATCAGTGTTGTAGGATACACGCAGCCTGTAAATCTACATTATCATCAGTGTTGTAGGCTACACGCAGCGTGTAAATCTACATTTATCATCAGTGTTGTAGGATACACGCAGCGTGTAAATCACATTATCATCAGTGTTGTAGGATACACGCAGCGTGTAAATCTATATTATCATCAGTGTTGTAGGCTACACGCAGCGTGTAAATCTATATTATCATCAGTGTTGTAGGCTACATGCAGCGCGTGTAAATCTACATTATCATCAGTGTTGTAGGATACACGCAGCGTGTAAATCTACATTATCATCAGTGTTGTAGGCTACATGCAGCGTGTAAATCTACATTATCATCAGTGTTGTAGGATACACGCAGCGTGTAAATCTACATTATCATCAGTGTTGTAGGCTACACGCAGCCTGTAAATCTACATTATCATCAGTGTTGTAGGATACACGCAGCCTGCAAATCTACATTATCATCAGTGTTGTAGGCTACACGCAGCCTGTGTAAATCTATATTATCATCAGTGTTGTAGCATACACGCAGCGTGTAAATCTACATTATCATCAGTGTTGTAGGCTACACGCAGCCTGTAAATCTACATTATCATCAGTGTTGTAGGATACACGCAGCCTGCAAATCTATATTATCATCAGTGTTGTAGGATACACGCAGCCTGCAAATCTATATTATCATCAGTGTTGTAGGATACACGCAGCGTGCAAATCTACATTATCATCATCAGTGTTGTAGGATACACGCAGCCTGCAAATCTACATTATCATCAGTGTTGTAGGATACACGCAGCCTGCAAATCTACATTATCATCAGTGTTGTAGGATACACGCAGCGTGAATCTATTATTATCATCAGTGTTGTAGGATACACGCAGCGTGTAAATCTATATTATCATCAGTGTTGTAGGATACACGCAGCGTGTAAATCTACATTTATCATCAGTGTTGTAGGCTACACGCAGCCTGCAAATCTACATTATCATCAGTGTTGTAGGATACATTAGCAGCTGTAAATCTACATTATATCATCAGTGTTGTAGGATACACGCAGCAGCGTGCAAATCTACATTATCATCAGTGTTGTAGGCTACACGCAGCCTGCAAATCTACATTATCATCAGTGTTTGTAGGATACACGCAGCGTGTAAATCTATATTATCATCAGTGTTGTAGGATACACGCAGCGTGTAAATCTACATTATCATCAGTGTTGTAGGATACACGCAGCGTGTAAATCTACATTATCATCAGTGTTGTAGGATACACGCAGCGTGTAAATCTACATTATCATCAGTGTTGTAGGCTACATGCAGCGTGTAAATCTACTTTATCATCAGTGTTGTAGGATACACGCAGCGTGTAAATCTACATTATCATCAGTGTTGTAGGCTACACGCAGCCTGTAAATCTACATTATCATCAGTGTTGTAGGATACACGCAGCGTGTAAAAATCTACATTATCATCAGTGTTGTAGGATACACACGCAGCAGCCTGTAAATCTACATTATCATCAGTGTTGTAGGATACACGCAGCGTGTAAATCTATATTATCATCAGTGTTGTAGGCTACACGCAGCGTGTAAATCTATATTATCATCAGTGTTGTAGGCTACACGCAGCGTGTAAATCTACATTATCATCAGTGTTGTAGGATACACGCAGCGTGTAAATCTACATTATCATCAGTGTTGTAGGCTACACGCAGCGTGTAAATCTACATTATCATCAGTGTTGTAGGATACACGCAGCGTGTAAATCTACATTATCATCAGTGTTGTAGGCTACACGCAGCCTGTAAATCTACATTATCATCAGTGTTGTAGGATACACGCAGCGTGTAAATCTACATTATCATCAGTGTTGTAGGCTACACGCAGCGTGTAAAATCTACATTATCATCAGTGTTGTAGGATACACGCAGCGTGTAAATCTATACATTTATCATCAGTGTTGTAGGCTACACGCAGCCTGTAAATCTACATTATCATCAGTGTTGTAGGATACACGCAGCCTGTAAATCTACATTATCATCAGTGTTGTAGGATACACGCAGCGTGTAAATCTACATTATCATCAGTGTTGTAGGATACACACAGCTGTAAATCTACATTATCATCAGTGTTGTAGGATACACGCAGCGTGCAAATCTACATTATCATCAGTGTTGTAGGATACACGCAGCGTGCAAATCTACATTATCATCAGTGTTGTAGGATACACGCAGCGTGTAAAATCTACATTATCATCAGTGTTGTAGGATACACGCAGCCTGTAAATCTACATTATCATCAGTGTTGTAGGATACACGCAGCCTGCAAATCTACATTATCATCAGTGTTGTAGGATACACGCAGCCTGCAAATCTACATTATCATCAGTGTTGTGGATAGGCCATAAATCATCATCAGTGTTGTAGGTACACGCATCTGTAAATCTATATTCATCAGTGTTGTAGGATACACGCAGCCTGTAAATCTACATTATCATCAGTGTTGTAGGCTACACGCAGCCTGCAAATCTACATTATCATCAGTGTTGTAGGATACACGCAGCCTGC